CTGATATCGGGTAGGTGTGCGCGTTCATTTGTAGACGATTTTACTTACGATTATTTTTATCGGGTGATCGTTCCAAATCAAACATGTTTGATTTTGAACCGATTATTTTGAAGCGATTTTTGGAACAGCCAATAGCTGAACATGCCCATGTCACATGACATTCAAAAAGGCGCCTACCATCAACAAAATAACCAATTTTATCGTAGGTGTGCGGGTGTTTATCGGAAGGCGTCGCGCTGAGCCGATTTTACAAACGATGAAGAGATTTTTTAATTGGACCGATTTCTGGGTAGTTGTGCGCCGGCCTTTAGCGTTAACTCGAGTTAGCTTAACCTCGCCAGTCGATCGAGGTTAAGCTAACTCGAGTTAAGGCCCCGCCCCGTGTAGACGCTTTTAACTCGAGTTAGCGAATAGTACATAACTCCACGATAGGCGGCAACACTAGTACGATGTACGTACACGCACGCACGCACGCACACACTCATGCACGCACGTCTACGTGCACATGCATGCACGCACGCACGTGTACTCACATGTACGTGTACGCACATGCATGCACACGCACGCACACATGCACACACGTGTACCTGCACAAGCACGCACGCACACACGAACATGTACCTGCACACGCACGCACGCATGCACGCACGTGTACGTGTACATACACGTACGCATGCCCGCACGTGTACGTACGTGCACACGCACGCACGCACGTCTACGTGCACATGCACACGCGCGCACATACGCACGCACGCACGCACTCGCACATACGCACGCATGCACGCACTTACGTGTACGTGCACACAAACGGACGCACGCACGCACACATGCACACGTGTACCTGCACAAGCACGCACGCACGCACGAACATGTACCTGCACACGCGCACACGCACGCACGTCTATGTGCACATGCACACGCACGCACATACGCACGCACGCACGCACGTGTACGTGCACACAAACGGACGCACGCACGCACACATGCACACACATGTACTTGCACAAGCACGCACGCACGCACGAACATGTACCTGCACACGCGCGCACGCACGCACGCACGTATACGTGCATACGCACACACACGCACGCACGCATAATAAATCGGTAATAATCGCTATCGGGTGTTGTCATGTAGACGCTACATAATCGCTAACTCGAGTTAACGCTTAACTCGAGTTAAGGTTCATCGTGTAGACGAGGCTATAGCCTGGCGGCCTGCCAGGCTATCGTCGAGCCCCGCCATCCTAAAATGCACTCGCCACTCTAACTACCATAGCCGCCACATGTGCTGAAATTTCCCGGGGGGGTGGGGGCATGCCCCCGGACCCCCCTAGCACGCAAACCTCCTTCGGCGATTTGCAAATAGGACCGTAATGGCAACACCCACATGCTATAATGAAAAAGCTTGGAGAACTCTGATACTGAGCCAACTACAAGCTTTTATGTACCAAGAATTTGAAACGGTCTCTTGATGTATGACCGTTTTTTGGAGCTAGCCCTCGTCATGACATTGTGCTGCATGCACAACTAATGAGTAAACCTTTTTCAAAAATGGAGTGTGGGAAAACCCACACATTCACACCCTTAATTTTGCAGTAGTGTTTTAGACTTTCTAACTGCTATAATTTAAAGTTAATTCTTGCCTTTTTTTAAATTTGAGCCATAAAACGTTATAGGCACAACCTTTATCTGACAAGTTAATACTATTAACTAATTATTAGGTCAGTGACGCACACTGAGCTTTGATAGTCTGAGTTAAAGACCAATATCTTGGTGGGAGCACCGGGTGGAATAGCTGTTCATACTGTTGCCACTGCTATAATAACTACTGCTACTGGCCATGTTCAGCAGGTGGCTGCTGTGTGTGTTCCAGCGAAAAAAATACACGGGAGCGGCGAGCGATTTCGCTCCCGTCAGCTTTCAAAGCGCTCTGGTAACAACAATTACGAGAGCGAAAATTTTGGAAGCTACGAGAAAAAATCGCTCCCGTGCCGCCGCCAGCGTTACGACTCATTCCTCAACGTAGACAGCTAGGGTATCCAAAACATCTAGAGCTGCATGAACTCCTTCAACGCATGATTCGCACACAAACAAAAACTCGCGATAGTCTATAAGAAATCAATGTGTTTTTATAACCGCGTAACAATAAGTTTATATATCGCAGGGGTTATTGTGGGAAGTTAGGGCACGACCAGTGACACCTGACACGCACGTAATCAAAGCTGTTTTCTGAATTCGTTACGTAGAAAGTGGACTGTTTTTATTCAGGTAGATATTTAGAAGAAATGTAAACTGTATATACTTGAAGATTCTAGGCACTTGTAACTTTGTGGATGTGCGGCAGCATTGATAGATCTATGCATGGGGGTACTGTGGACTGGGGAAGAGTAAAACGAAAGTAAAACCTTACCCAGAAGCTCCCCCGACATTCCTAGAGATTGAAACATTATTTGACCAACTCTAATTAAGTTACATCAAGAGTTAATGAAGACACTATTTGTCTTCATTAACTCCTTGTTATGCGTATGCTGTTTTAATTCCAATGGTTATCTTTATAAATATACTATTTTGTTACTCACTGCTAGTAAATAAGCTGACCAAATTTTTGTGCAGGTCCACCAACTTTCTGAAGTTGGT